TATATATATATATATATATACACACATGTTTCCGGTGCTTCACTTGCTCTTTTACATCTGCTTCGCTGAAGTGTGCCAGCAAGAGGGTCCCGTTGCTTCCGCTACCACAATCTCTCCTTCATCGCGAAGGGCTGCACCATTGCAGCCCATGTATATTACGTGGTGAAAGATATGTTATTGCATTCAATGCCTTTCTCTTTCGTGTTGTGCTCCACTCATAGGTTTGGCGTTTTTTTTTTTTCCTATCTCCTCCGTGTATTGTTTATGCTTTCTTGTGTGATATATGTTTATTTTACTTATATTTGTTATAGTTTCGGGTTGTAGTGCACGATACCCGTGCACCGCACACTGCCTGTTCAATTGCTTACTTGCCTGCGTGCACAGATGCGGAGGAAACAACTAGAATCCGCTGATGTTGCATCGTCGACATTGCCTCTGTGTGCGCGGTGGTATATATATAGGTGGTATATATATATATATATATATTCATGTGTGTGTGTGTCTGTGCATATAGGTGCTGTCTGAACGTCCGCATGTGTGGGGAGCGGTCTTTGGGTGCCGCCACCCTTTCCTGCCCGCACGTGACTCCCACACGATGTAATGAGTGGGGATGAGGTGCGAAAAGGAAGGGAAGCACCGGGGTCGTAACAGTGAAACAAAGTCTAAAATGGGAACAAGGACGTCTGAAAGCAGAAACCTATTCATGTTATGTTTTGTCCGTCTGGCTTCGCAGGTGAATGTGTGCTTCACCACGTACACCTGGGAGCCTTTCTATGTCTCGTGTGCGTTGCCCGACCATCGCTGATGATGTGTCTTGTCGTGGTGACGGAGACCGGCTGCATTCTCATTTAGGAGTTGATGAAACAAGAAAAATGAACAAGAAAGCACAACAACAGTTATAAATAGAATAACACAGAAGTAAATAACAGGCATCTGCACACTTTTCAGACTCTCAATTACCACCCTTGACGTGCTGTTTGCTGTGCTGCACCGGAGGTGCTATGTGCGTCAGTATTGATTCCCACTCTCCTGTCTTCTCTTTCTACACGTTCCTCACTGTAGATCTGAGAAGCCTATTTGTGCCAAGGGCCGCATCACAAGGACCTTTCAAAAGGTGTTAATTGGAGAAGCAGCAAAAGCAATATTAATAGTACAACCCCCGCAGCACTACTTGCATGTCGGACTACTACCGCATTCTCAATGTCTCCCCCAACGCGACAGCGGAGGAGATAAAAAATAGTCACCACCAGCTCGCGCTGAAGTTCCACCCCGACAAAGCGGGTCCGGAAGGGGAGGCGCACTTCAAGGAGATACAGAAGGCATACGAGGTGCTCTCGTCGCCAGAGAAGAGGAAGTTGTATGATCGCTATGGTGCCGCGGCTCTTGAGAACCCCGTCGCTGATACGTTTTTCATGCAGACTAGCGCTTCCTTGGGGGTGGCCATCCTCGCCGTGTTTTCGTTTCTGGCAGCTGCACTCTGCATTATCTTTATTGCGTTCCTCACCGCCTACGTGGATGGCCATCTGCCAGCGCGTGACGCCAGTACGGTGGACGACCACAGCCGAGCGTATTGGAACTACGTGAAGGTATTTGCGCCAATTTTTGTTGTGGCTATTGTCTTGGGTGTTGGAATACTTTTAATTATCGTTGTGTCGTTATGTTCATGCAACCTTACGGGTATGCTTTACGCGCTGAATGTGCTCTGTTATGTTATCGCTGTCATCCTCGTGCCTATCGTTAAGGATGCCAACGACGATACAGCGTTGCGTGGTGGCAGCGACTACTACTCGTGGCGCGTCTGGCTTACGCCACTGTACATTGGCAGCTCGCTGAGTTTGTTGCTTTTCTTCTTCTTGGCGATGCCGACGCGGGAAAACCGCGAACGCCTTGCCGCGTACGGCGCGCCCGATTTGTGGGGCTTTACGAAGGCCTCGTATGTGCTGGGTCTCCTACGCATGGTTTGCCTGGTGTCGTTCAGCGCCCTCATCGCGTGCCGCGCTGATGACGTGATTACGACGAACTATTTCGTGGTTGTGGGCCTTCCGTTCTTTGTCTTCGGCGTGCTGATGCTCATCAAAAAGGTGTACCTTAATGTTGTGGTGTTGTCTGCACGGGGGGTGCCGGTGACGTTCTGCACCATCCTTTTATCATCGTGGCGAGATCTGCTGCTCCTGGTCCTCGCGTTCGCGTCCATCTCGATGGTGTCGAAAAGGCTGAACGACATAAGCCGCGCAGATGGCGGCAGCGTCCTGCGGCTGGCCATCGCGCTCATTCCGGTGTACATCCTGCTGGGCGTTTTGTTCCTGGCGGCGCTGGTGTTCGTGTGCGTGGCAATCATGGACACGTCTGGCCTCTCCATTTTCCCGGAAGCGGAGGCGGGGGAGAACGACACAGAGGAGGAAGCGGATGGGAGGGCCGGCGAGCCGCACGACGTCGCGGAGAATAATAAAGATGAGAGAGACAATGAGCATCACGAAGCCACGAAGTCGTCCGAAGATAAACACGAAGGCAACTTCGCGCCGAACGACGACGGTGGTAGAAGCAATCGGGTGGACCAACATGCCGGGAACGGGAACGGGGAGCAAGCGGCATGGAGTACCAAGGAAGAAGGGGCTCAAATGGCCCAGTGCCCTCCGCAGCGGAGGCTGTCAGATGTGGACTAGGACGGTAAAGGAGAAAGACAAATATTTTTTTCTTCTGCTGTGTGTATATTGGGTGATCAGATGGAAGATGATTGCGTTTGTTGCATAAGTGTGAAGTGGAGAAAAGGTGCATGACAGTTGCAACTCTTTGGTGCAATGTTGTTCAGCATCTGAGCGAAACAAATTAAGTAGAAGTGCTTGGCGTCTTTGCGGGATGTATGAGGTGTGGTGTGTAGTGAGCCACCAACTCCGTTTTTCGACTCGCTGCATGGCCTTGACGTTGAAAGCTGCGTAGATCAGCCAATCAGGAGAGGCGGCCATAAACGGGCATGATCACATGCCTTTCTGTGTATGCTGTATCACAACATGGCTGCGTGTGTGAAAATCGGTAAAAAAAAAACGCAGAAGAAACCATTTTCTCGCAAACTTATTGATCCCACTTTCCTCTTGTTGGATTTTTTTCTTTTTTTCTGGGGGGGGGNGGGGGGGGGGGGGGGATGGGAGTGCCTTCCTGACTCTCCTTGCTGTCTCTGATGGTGCGCTTGCTTACCCATTTCTCATTTACTCTGTCCCTGCCGCAAGTATCAGTACCCTGGTGGTGTGCAGTCCCTGCCTCATCGCAGTGAGGGAGAGAGAGAGAGAGAGAGAACGAGAGAAGAAGAAAGGAAGGAACAGTGACGCATACCGGAAGGCAGCGGCAGTAGAGAAGTCAAAAGAGAGGCAAGGGATACCCCCCAAAAAAAAAGAGGCGAAAGAAGATTGGGTAAGCACAAGGGTATGCAGCAGGAGGGGAAGCAGGACGTGAGCGGGGGCCGCAAGTCCCCTGATGTGCTGCCGCTAAGCGTAGTTGCCCTCGACAGCATCGAGCACCAATACGTTGAGGTGCTGAAGGAACTCGCGATGGAACCGCATTTGGAGCCGTTCAAGGATGAGTACGAAAAGATCCACCGCCTCCTGCGCAAGAGCAACGACGGCGAAAAGAGGCTGTTACAGAAGATCAAGGAACTGCAGCAAGACCTCGCCAGCCACGGCACAAAGGTGGAGGCGGCACTGAAGCTGTCACAGCAGGACGAGGAGGTCATAGCGGCATTGCGCAAGGAGATTGAGCGGGCGTGGACACTAGCCGACAGCGCCCACTCACACGAGAAGGAAAGCCGCGAGCACATTCAGCTTCTGCGCAAACAGGTCTCCGAGCTTGACGCACTGGTCGACAAGAGCACACGCAATACGATGGGGCAGGAGTCGTACCTGCGCGAACTGATTGTCGCGAAGAAGGAGTTGGAGAATGAGCGTGTGGTGGCGCAAGGGAAGGTGGCGCGCCTCCTTGACACGCGTGATGTGATGCGGAAGAGCCTACAAAAGGTACAGAGCGACAACGAGGCGGCGCGGCGGCAGCTGGAGAATGGTTTGTCGAGTTACCAGACGCTGCTGCGCAACCTCGCGGAGGTTCAGCGTGAGCGCGAGAGCCTCGAGCAGCAGGTGCGGGAGTGCCGCGCGACGACAGACCAGCACATGGTGGATATGGAGGAGCGTAAAGCCGCGACGGAGAAGCTCTCCATCGAAGAGGCGCGGCTCAAGACACTTGCTGTTGAAGAGCGCGAAACTGTCGCACAGATGGTGAAGCAGCTGGAGGAGCAGCAGCGCCGTTTCAAGACGGAGGCTGACCGCCTCGCCGTTGTAGAGGCGCAGAACGCGGAGGTGAAGGTGGAAATACCCAAGCTCAAAATGACGCTGAAGGAACGGCTTGCAGAGGTGTCGCGGCTCGCCGCCGGCCTGCGCAAAGTGCGCAAGAGCGCTGAAGCGCAGCAGTCGGAGATGCGGAAACAGCTGCAGACACGCAACGCTCTCGTTGCACAGACGGAGCAGTTACACGACGCCATTGAGGAGCGGCTGCAAGCACTCGGTGTGGAAGAGGAGGCGCTTCACGCGGAGGAGGTGCGCCTCAAGCAGGCGATACCGCAGAAGACGCAACTCATCACGGACAACTCTCGCACAGAAAACGAGCGTGTTGCGATGGAGGGTCACCGGGTGGTGGAGGAGGGGAAGCGGCACAACTTGGCGCAGCAGCTCGACCAGCTCCTGCGGGAGAATGAGACGCTGCGCAAGACCGTCTTCTCGCTGGAGCAGGGACAGACGAAGGTGCTCGACCACGGGCAGCACGTGGCGCTGCAGTATCACCAAACACTGGAGCAGACACGGAAGCAGAACGATCGGGCACGGTCTCTACAGGGGCAACTCGCTGAAAATGAAAAGCGTTTAAAGACGCAGCAGGATCTGCTCGACAGAGTATCCGCTGACTGCGCGCGCACGGAGAAACAGCTGAAGGAGAGCGAGCTGGAGTGCGCCTCGTTGAAGGAACGCTATCACACGAACGATGAGGATATACAGCTGCTCAAGATGCAACTCATTGCGAAGGAAGGGGCGCTCTGCAAACTGCACATGGTGCGGCGGCAGCTGCAGCGCGACATCGCCAACGCGGAGCAGCGGGCGAGCCACTTGAAGGACGATGGCCTCAACGCCAAATCCCGCCGCGAGGCCCTAGAGAGTGAGGCACAGCAGCTGGCGCACCTTATCGCCGAGTGCGACGCGGAGAAGTCCAAGTATCAATCTAAGTTCGCAGCACTTGTGAATGAACGTAACGTGCTGGCTGCGCAGCTGATCCGCCGCAACGACGAGCTTCGGCTGCTCTATAGCAAGATACGCCTGCAGGAGTGTAGCCTCGAGAAGAGTGCCATTGACTACGACAGGCGCGTGCAGACTGTCATCGCCACGCGCAACGAACTTGCGGAGCTTCGGTTACGTTGCCGTATTGCACTCGTGCGTCTCCGTTACACGGAGAAGTTGCATCGCCGCAAACAGACGATCGAGCGTGACCTCTTCACGGAGCGGCAGCGCTGTCGCGCGCTTGTAGATGAGCTGCAGCGCCCGGTGCACGTGCACCGTTGGCGCCGCCTCGAGGGCAATGCACCGGAGGTGCTCGACGGCATCTACAAGACGCAGACATTGGAGCGACAGATCTTGCAGAAGCACGACACACTCGTCGAGAAGACAAAGCAGCTTGCCTCCCGTACCGCGGAGTATGACGCCATTCGGCGAAAACTCGCGTGCCTGCCAGGGCCGGAAGTGGCGGAAGAGCTGAGTCTCTACAACGAGAACCTTTCACGCCGGTGCGAGCAGATCAATGGCATGGACACCGAGCTGCGGGAGGTTGAACAGCACGCGGACGTTGTCGCAGAAGAGGTGAAGCAGCTCTCCCTTGAGCTCGGCGATGTGAAGCGGCGCTATTTTGAAGCGAAGCACAAGAACGACTTGCTACGTCGAGAGCAGGCGGCGTTCCGCGCAACGTGGGGCGGATCATCTACGGTTGCAAACATCGCCCTTGCGGCGGCATCTGCACGTCAGCAGGAGCAGCTGCTTGGCAGGGATGGTAGTGGTAGCAGCGGCCAGCAGGAGGCCTGGGGGCCACGGGCGGGCGGTGGGCAGCGGCCGTTTCTGTGGTATACGCGGGCACAGAAGCGCCGTGAGAAAATGCGGCAGGAGGCGCGTCTCGTGGAGGCGCTCTCCACCGGCGCACCGGCACCGAACTATCCGCTGCAGTACGGCGCACAACAGAGGCATTTCGTCGGCGGCGGCTTTGCTTTCACACGGTGAAGGAGGGGCGTCTTGTTTACTGTGACAAATGTACAGGAAAGTGAGTGGGAACAAAAACAAAAAGAGAGAGAGAGAGAGAGAGAGAGAGAGATGTGAGTGTGGCGGAGAAGAACACGTTGGAATGTACGTGATCTTCCCTCCTCCTACTCTCCCTTGTGTGGATGCCACCATGCAGCGTTTTTTGATGTGACCCAAGACCCTCATTTGATCCCTTTGTGCTTTGTGTTTTTCTTTCTTTTTTTTTTGCATTCACGAAGAGGGGAATGGGTTAGGGCTACTGCTCGCAGTGGCAGCTACTCGCGGCTGCGTTGTTACTTCTGGGGTTGGTCTTTGCTGATGTCGCCTTGCGTCTTTCCTCCTCATTTTGTGTGCGTGAATGTGTGTGTTACGCCTCCTTACTTCACTCACTGCTCAGCAGAGAGAGAAAGGGGGGATGCAGAAGGCGCTCGGTGGCGTGGGAGGAAAAGCCGCTGCGGCAGCTGCTGCCGGCGCTGATGGCGCCGCCTTTGGCGTGCTGCAAAACATCCACATCAACCCGATGCCCGTGCGGGCCGCCATCGACATTGGGACAGGCGGCGTGGCGTCGCTGACGGTTGGCCGCGTCGACGCGGTGCACAACGCAGTGTGTGACGTTATGTACCAGACGCAGGTGCCGCTCCACCTGCATTCCGCCACAGCCTCTTCCCCTCTTTCCTCCGCCACTGCGTCGCCTTTCGTGCTGAGCGAGCAGACGCGCACGGACATACGCAACAAGATGCGTCTGCTGCACGGGGCCTTGCGCCGCGATCACTACGAGGGCCTCAGCGAGCGGGCGGCGCTCATCACATGGCCGCTGTGTGATGCGGCAGACGCCGTGGCGTTGGCGGGGGAGTTGACGCGCGAGTTTAAAGTGGACGTCCGCGTGCTGGGCAAGACGTTTCACGTGGAGATGCCGTTTGCCAATCACGGCGTGTTGTGTGATGCTGGAGATGCGTCGAGCGCATCTAAGAAGAAGCAGGAACTCGCAGAACGAGCCACGGGTGTGAGCGACGACAATGACAGCCTACGCGTGTTGATGCAACGTGCCGTCCGCCGGCGTGAGGAGCGACGGCGGCGCGTAGATGCACATGACTCCTCCGAGGCGGGAGCAGAGCACTGTGTGGTGCCGCCGCAGCAGCAGATGGAGCAGCTGGCTTTCCTCGCGCATGCTGCCGCCAGCAAGTGCGTTGCGCCGCAGCGTATGCTTGTGCTCGCGGAGGACACCCACAGGGGCCTCTGTGTCCTCGGTACCGACACCACCGAGGCAGAGGAGGTGGACGACGACGGCACCTGTGTCGTTTCACAGCAGCAGTGCGAAGGCAGTGGTGTGCTCACACACGCCTTGCCGATCGACGCGACGCTGGCGCACCGACTGCTTCTCACAACGGTGCAGCGTCGCGCCGCTTCACACGGCAGCCAAGGTGAGCGGTGCAGCCCGAACCCTGTGCTGCGGGACGAGTTGCTGCAGTTGCGGTCCCTGCTGGAGGCGATGGTGCGCCCCACGCTTCCACCCTGGGTACTGCGTAAGTCCCACGCCGGTGGCCTTGTCTGCGGCTCCAGCTTCAACGGTGGCGCGCTCAACATCGCCGCGCGCGTGGCGCAGCGGACGAGCGTCTCGCTGGACCATCTCGAGACGCACGCAGAGATGCACTACTGTGGCCTCACAGATGTGCTGCTAGGGATGAACTACCCAGATCCGACGATGGTCCTGCCGAATGCTGCTGTCACCAGTGCTCTGATGCGTGCGATCGGGACTCATCGATTTGAGTACTTACCGGAGGTGAGTCTTGCCGCCGCTTTGCTAGTCCAGCCGTCGCTTTGGACGCACGGCCGCCGTGAGCGGGTGCGGGCAGCGCTGCAGCAAAAGGCATTCTACTCTGGTGGCAGCGCGCGCCGCACATTTCGCCGGCCGCACGCGCGCGAGAATCCGACGGCGGCGCCCGAGGCATCGTGGCAGCGCAACCAGTCGTGGAACCCACTCTCGTACGAGAACAGTACAAAGGGAACGTGATACAGGTGTGGTGTGATGAAGCCGGTGAAGAAGTCCCTCCATGCAAGGATCAGAAAAGAAAGGGGAGGGTGATATAGCCTCTTTCTTTTAGGGCGTGTGCACACATAAATCAATGTGTGTGGTTATCGTTGTTCCGTCCTGTGCCCACAACTGTTGTGTCTTTTTTTTTTGCCGTATTCTTCGCGTGCAAATTGTCGTGAAGGAGCAAAGGAGAGGAATATGTTGGCCATTGCGATGGGGGCCGCGGCACTCGTGCTGCTGCTGCTGCTGTTCGCTGCTGTCGTCCTCCGTCGTAAGGGTGCGGCTGCACCTCTCGCTCCCCGTGTGCCGCCCTCCACGGCCACGCGGGCGGCACCAGAAGCACTGAAGGAGAGCGGAAGTGACGCAGACGACAGTGTCGACGACGTCGACGATTACGACGGTGAGGCGGGGCCGCACGGCGCTCGGCGGAGCGGCGCAACGTTGCGTCATCGCCACCGCCGCACGCAACGTAGGGAGGAGCGGGCCGACGGCAACGATGAGCACGACGACGCCGATGCTCCGCGCCAACGGCTGACACGGCTGCAGCAGAAGAAGCTGGAGAAGGAGAAGGAGCGCGAGGAGCGGCGCCAGGCGCAGGAGGCACAGGCAACTGGCCGTCGCGCACGCCAGGAGGCGGAGCGGGAGCTGCAGGAGGACCGTGAACGCGAGGAGGAAAAGCGTCGCATCGCGGAAGAGGTGGCGCTGCAGGAGTTGCGCGATGAGAAGAAGCGAGAGGATGACGAGGAGTACGCTAAGTGGGTCGGCGCCATTGGGGTGGAGGAGCGCGGTGAACTGGGCGACGAAGAGCGGAAGCGGCGCGAGGCGCTGCGTGCATTCCTGACAAGGAGGGCACAGGAAGTGAACGCACGTCAAGAGAAACAACAACAACAATTGGATGAACAGACGGCTTCCACAAATAGTACGACCGCCGAAGACGATGGGGGCGCACGGAATATTTTGGTGTTGAGTGACGTGGCCCGTGAGCACGGTGTCACGGTTGAGATCCTGGTGCAGATGCTTGAGAAGCTACTGGAGGGAGGAGACATCAATGGGGTTTTCGACGACCGGGGAAAGTTCATACTGGTGGCCGAGGCACATTATGCAAAGTTGGCCCTTTTCATCCAGCAGCGCGGGCGTGTCTCGATAAAGGAGCTTGTGCGGGAGTGCAACCGGGTGATTCTGTCATGATGTGAGGTTGTTTCCTTTTTTTGTTTTATTCCACAGGCTGTTTCCCACCAGGCAAATGCTGTTCTGCATTGCATGGCAGGGCATTGTCTGTTTCTGAGTTTGCGTGTCTGTCTGTCTAAGTCTGTGGGTACTTGCGCTCTTTAGTTGACTCGTTTGCGCTTCTTCCTTGCTTCCGTACTTTCCTTTCACTTATGCATAGATACACAGACACCATAAGGTGTGCCAATCTCCACGTTCCTGGCGTGAGAGAAAGTCCATATCTGGACGTGCACTGCAATAGTTTACCTGATTCCTTTTCTCATTCTCCATGGAATCGGCACGCGGCAGCAGCGGCGATGGCCGGCCATCCACTTTGTGGTCTTTGCGTACTACAGAGCCACTGAACTACGTTGATACAAGTGGGGCGACTGGTGTGGCGGGAGAGCAGAAAGTGGCTCCTGCAACTGCACTAGAAGCAGAACAACCAATACCCAACAACTATAAACCAGGTTACGGGACAAATCATGACGAGGCCAAGGAAAAAATACCTCGGGTACTCGTAAAGAAAATGATAGTGATAAAACGGAATCCCGCGAACATCGCTGCGGATGTACCGCCCTCTATGGATACCGGTAAAAACAATCACTATTCCACGCCTTTGGACGAGGAGGAGCCACAGCCGCAAAAGCGGGGGACAACAACCCCCAAGAGTGCTCGCTCAGTGCCCTCGGGAAGGCCTGCCGCTGACGAAGCAAGAGACGGGATGCTGCTGACAGGGAGATCTGAGAAAACTGAAACGCCTAGAAGGCAGTACGCTTCCACGATTTCCTTCAAATCTCCAAGCATCATTGGTGAAAAGAAAAATACGGACCAGATGGAGGCGGAGCCTTTTTCTGGCTCCCCAATCTTTCATCGTGGCAAACGTTTGGCTATCCCGCCGCCAGCGATGGACGACGATGTCGACCGCACGTCCGTTCCGTTTCCACTTCCGCGTCCTGCGCCGTTGGAAAGCACAGATAGCAGTAGTAGCACTGTCTCCAGCGAAGAACAGGGGGATGACCTCTCTAGCAATAGAAGTGAGCTTTTTCTCCCCGACGTGAGCCTCAGTCTAACGTCTCAGAGGCCGGCCTATGGCATTGTGGATGTACGTGAAACGGATAGCTCTAGGGGTCCCTCGCCAAATGACCTGCCGTCTTCCCTTGTTGCGAAAATGCAGCATTTGCTTAATGCGTCGCCAACACACCTCCACCGTGAGTCCGGTGAGACGGCTGCCAGCATCAGAACCCCCAGCCCGGTGCCGGTGACACTGCTTGGTGCAGGTCGGCACTACCGACAGAAACACTTGAAACGGGTCAGTTACTATATTCTAGGTCCTCTCCTCGGTGAAGGCGTCTTCGGTGTTGTGCGTGATGCCATCGATACTTCCGCTAGCCATATGATTCCACCGCGTTTTGAGCGAGTTGCTATCAAGAGTTTTAAATACCGTCGTGCGAGTGCTGCTGAACCGGCAGACATCGCAGCAGCAATAGCAGCATCGACTAGGGGCTCTGTGAAATCCCCTGGCATCAATACCCCTCCAGTTCTCGCAAGAGCGCCGTTGCTGGATTTCAAACAGCGACATGATGCCAAGATGCGCCGTCTGCTTGATAATGAGGCGCGCAACCTGCAGCGTTTTCACTGCCCCAACATCATCCGCAGCAGTGACATTTTTACGCGCCATGGAAGGGACTATATTGTTCTCCCCATTGCTATTTGCAACTTGGAAAACTTGGTGCGGGAGCGTGTGCGACAAAAGCTCCTATATCGACAACGGCAGACGAGAAACGCGCCATATTTATCTCTCCATCTCGGTCAAGGAGAGAGTCTTTGTCGTGATGCAAGCCCCTCATCTGAGCTGTATGCCGATGCCTCTGGTGTGAGTTACATGAGCTTGGGCGAGAGTGACTTCATGTTGAAAAACGGCTTAGTCGCTGACGGAACAGCCTCCCTCTTCTCTGCCTCACTGGTGAGAGGGATCATGTACCAACTTTTCAACGGTGTTGCCTACCTGCACCGTCAGGGTCTCGCGCACAACGATCTGAAACTGCAGAACATTCTTCTTTTTGCGGACGGTGTGCTAAAGATCGGCGATCTCGGTGGCCTCTCAGAGGAGTACAATGACCAGGGAACCCCAATGTACATGTCTCCCGAGCTTTGTAGATATTTTTACTGCGCAGGTGATGTAACAGACACGAAGAAAGTCGTAACGGTAAATGCCCTACAGAACGACATGTGGAGCTGTGGTGTGATTCTCTATTACTTGCTGGTAGGGAAGCCGTTATGGGGCAGCGGCTTTGACAGGCGCAATAAGTATCAGCTGTACCGTGCGATTGCTGCGCAGCATAACCCCATCGATGTGGGCCACGTCCCCGAGCCGTGGGAGAATGAGATGGAGATGGGCGTGCGGTCGGCGTCAGGGATGGCAGTAACGTCAGTGGCAGGCACGCCTGCCTCCATTTCCTCCTCAAGCCTGCGGCACCTGCTGAGCCGGCTGCTCGATGTTAACCCCGATACACGCTTGACAGCGGAGGAGGCACTTCTACATCCGGCACTCCAACCGCCCAATGCATGCGGTGCTTCCTCAACTGGTGTTTTCAACACCGTGCAGCACGACGTTGCATGGCAGGTGCTGGAGTCGCCGCATGTTCAGGCACTTATCAAGCGAGATCGGGAGCAGCACCTGCAGTTTGTTGCGGCGTGCTGCGACACACTAGGTATAGAAATGCCGGAAGAAATTTTCCTTCCTGAAACCGGTAGCATCGGCTCTGACACGGATCCGATTAACAATGGTGATGAGCAAGTACGAGAGTCAGCTTGCAAGAAGCCTAGAGGAACTGTTGATCGCAAGCTCTTTCTTACGGAGGCGGAGCGTCATTACTACGAGAAGAAACTAGGCAAGGCTGAGTATGACGTACCATTCATTCTCACTAATCCCGCAAAGGTAAAAATGATGCGCGATTATCTTTACGGAACAGTCCTTGTCGAGTGCGGGTACCGCAGTATTGAAGAGGCCGAGTCGGAGCGGGTGCAAGAGCTAGAAAAGAACCAACGGATACTTGCCGCTGCGGAGGCGCGAGCGACTCGAAAACCGCCTAGGAACACTTCTCAGGTCGCTGGGAATAGCGGGAAAACGTCAACTGCAAAATCCAAAAATAGCAACATTAACAACAACAGTAGTCATAAAGAAAAGGAGTACTCCAAATGTCTCTGTGGTCTTATGTAGAAAATCGCTGGGAAGTGTCTGTCGGCAAAAAAGTAAACAGAGTGACTGAGGGAGATGTGTAGTCTGAAGGTGGGCACCAGCTTATATACGAATATATAAGCCAAAAACGAAAAAAAAAACGGTTACCACCCCACTCATAGAACCGTCGTTATTCATACAAACGTGATGCCTGCTCCTTTGTTTTCATTTCTTTCTGTTTATTTTGAAGTAATGGCGTGCATGACAGGTGAATGAATCAACGATGATTGTCATGATGACCACTCCCTTCCCTGCCTCCCCCATATTCCTGTCCGTGTTCTTCCCCAATATGGGTGGATTTGTCTTGAGATATCTTAATGTGTGTTTAGACGATTGCAAATACAAAAGAAAGTCGTGAGACGTGTGAAAAAAAAAGTGGAGCTTATGATTGGGCGGGAGGAGAAAGGCCCGATCACACTGAGCTGACCCGTGTCAGAACAAGTGAAACCCCCCGATAAAAAAAAAAAAGGAGGGAGAGAAGAGAGAGAGAGATGGAAAGATGAAAAAAAAAAAACGAAGCGGAAAGGAGGGTGGTGAGAAGCACAAGAGTAGAGTCTTGCAAAGATATGCGTTTCCGTCCGCTTCAAGCGTGGGCGTACATATTTCTGTATTTCGGTGTGTTTGAGAGGAAGGGTGTCGGTGGCGATGTGTTTGGTATTTTCTCCTCCTCTACAGCTGCGTGCCGGTTTCGCTGTGGTTGTCTATATTATTCGCCTTTTTCTGCGGTGTGATGTGCAAATGGCCTTTCTTCTTGTGGTTTCTCCAGCATAGCACATGCCGGGCTTCTCACTCACCGGACCATCACCTCCCTCTTCTGATGCGATATGTCTCAAGAAATGTGGCTCTCTCGTTTGCTCCGCGTTGCGCTTTGTGTTTTTTTTTTTGTTTTACGTTCTTCCCACGGTGGGTGGAGGGGCAAGGGACGCGGGTACAACAACCCGTCACACGCACAGACACAAGAGCACGCAGCCAGAACTTTGCACATTCAAGGATGGGGTCTCTTTGTGTGGGTGTGGAGGAGGACGCCGTGCCACTGGGTCGGCTTCTCCCCGTTTTTATTCTCGATGCGTGGCTGTCCTCCTTCACCCGGTATCCGCGCAAGAGGGGGCGTATTCGGCACGCCGCCCTTTCGTTCCCGTTACTTCCAGGCGTGGAAATGGGAATGCTGTTGGCGATGACGATGTAGCGGCTGTGAGACACACCAATACCACGGCGGGGGTAGCTGCCGTCGATGGCGGTGCGGCGCTGGTGGCAATAGAAGGAGGGGCCTCAAGAGGCGCGGCGTCTTTCATTGCGGAGTCGCTCTTCCATGGGGTGGGCTGCTGCGCATGGCACCGATGAGACTGGCGAGCACACACGATTCATCTTTTTCCGGGGTGTGGCTCCGCGGTGCGAAGAGCGACGCTCTGATGCTGTGCACGGTGAGTCCCGCCGGTCTAGACCCATCGAGTTGCTCACAATGCCGATGACAGTGACCCATGTCGTTCCATCCTTGTTCTCTCCTACTCTTTGCATGGCTGCAAGGACTTTCATGCAGAGGGTAGTGATGTTCATCCCAGGGCCAGGTTATATCAGGTTGCTCTTCCATACATCTACGACGGAGGTCAACTGTCTCTTGTCGGCCCACACTCATAGTGGACGCAATTGCAGCCGTGGTGAGCTGCAAGGCATTCGAATGCATCGGGCTGAAGCGGTTTCTTATCCTTGTCATTGTATTGAACGCCATAGGCGCGACGGTGAGGCCTTTTCTGCTTTACTTTGCTTCCACGACCCCCGTTGCTGTTTGGTTTTACATTGCATTAACTCTCTTGCGCAGGTGTTCATCGTTTCCCACTCACCTTCGCGTCCGACGCAAAGCCAATGTGATAAATTTGCAGCGAAAACGGGCACTGCAGCAGCAGCAGCATCGGCGAGAGCGTGGCAGGATACTGAACGCCCCTACTTGTTCAGCGGTATCTGTGACGGACGCCGATTTTACACCTTTCTCTACGGACGCAACTGAGAAAACAAAAGCTGGCGCAACAGCTTAAGCTATTTCATCATCAAACTGTTTTGCTCGAGGCGCGAGGGAACATGGGCCTGCAGCTGCCTTTGTGGAAATACGGCTTTATTTTCCTCCACCTGGGAGTGATGGGAAGACAGAAATTTGCTGCATTTCTTGTTATTGATGATGATAATAAAGAAGACTCGACGTGTGGTATTAAGATGAAGGAGAACGTGCACCCTTCGTTCGTCGCTGACGTCCGTGGCTGCTCCTGCTGCGGCGGAGTCTAGGAGTAGCGGGAGTATTTATTACCACAACAACGAATGACAGGAGGACCTTGATAAGATCATATTGCTGTTTCGAGACGAATCTGGGACGGAGCGGAAACACCCCTCGAGCAATGTTTCTCATATTTTCCGTGAATAGTTCCTTGTGGTGCGACAGAATACCAGCTTCTCACTCATGAAGGTGTAAGGTTTGCTACAACTGGGTGTTGTTTGGTCATTTACAACGGTGGTTTCACGGGTTGTGTTCCCACTGGGTGTCTCTGAGAGCATAGCTGTTTGGGTAGGCTTTGTGAGCCTCCCGGTTGGTGAGCTTACGCCAGCTGTGCCGGCTCCACTGATTGCTGGTCGCCGGCACAATTACAAGTGCGCTTGGGTTGGCTGTGTGTTGTTACTCATGCTGGATGTGTCGGTTATGCTCATTTACATTACCCCACTGCCTAGAGTGAGTCAAAAGACATTGGGACGAGGTGATTTGGGCGTACTACTTGGGTTTTTTTTTGTCGGTTCGGTTGACATAGTATAGCGTGCCATGAAATGTGATGCTTCCGCTGCTGTTCGAGTTTGGCACGGAGCTGGCATTTCCTGTGTCGGAGTGTACCACCGCGGTAGTGACCATTTGGGCCGCTAGCGCCGCAGGCTTTATCTTCACTCGGATATTCAGCCTCGTCCTGGGACCACGGCGCGCGATTGGGGACACACTTGTGTCGTGGTGCATTGCCATTGTGTTCATGCTGACTGGTGGAAGGAGTATCCTCGCCATGTACCCGCACGGTTTCTGAGAGGCGCATGAGGCGAATCGTGCGCAGTTGCTGATGGACGCCCGTCGCGCGAGTTCTGTATTGACCGTTGGCATAACTGAAGTGTAATGTACGGAAGAAACATACAGGTGGAATTTGTAACAGCTTTTGCGCTTCAGCGGGGTTTGTTTTCCTTTCCCGTGCCTTTCTGAAAGAGATGTTCAAGTAAGGATGGAGTAGTGCGCCACATAACGCACCTTAGTTTTCTTGGTGATGCCTGGTGAATTGTGAGAAGAAATTAAAGAGAGCTGTGCTCTCTATTGAGAGGTATTTTGATCGGCGTTCCTCGGTACTCGATTCAGGGTTACTCAATGCTTTGCGCTTGGGAAGACTTTTGCGTATATGGTTTAATTGTTTTCGTTTGTTTGTTTATATTTTTCACTGTCTTCGCATCTGCCAATATTTTTTTTTTTGCTTCGACTTTGCGCTTCTTGCCACTCAAATCCCGTGTTGTTGTCCCTCTCGACAGACCGCACCGTAGCACGCACAGATTTACGCGAGAGCCGGCGATGGCAGGAGTAGATGCCCATTCCACAGAGAGGGTCGAACAGACCAAAAACGCTATGACGTCTGTTCAAATGGAAAACAAGCCGCTCGACGAGTCGCCGAGCCAATGCACTCTCAGCATTGCCTCAGGGGCAGCGGAGAACTTCCAGACGAAACTCGCTGATCCCGGGCCACTCGGATTGATCGCGTTCGGCATGACCACAATCCTGTTCAATCTAACCAATGCACGGATATTCCAGATGAACACTACCACGGCGGGTATGGTGGTGTGCTACGGCGGCAGCACACAGATTCTGGTTGGCATCATGGAGTTCATCCGCGGAAACGCGTTTAACTGCACCATCACGACAACCTTTGGCGCCTTCTGGCTTGCGACTGCATGTGTTTGGCTTTTGCCGCGGCGCACGCTTGAAACGCCCACTGAGTATCTGGAGGAGGCAGAGCGAGGTTTTATGGGTATATTCTTCTTTATGTGGGCCGTATTTACATTCTTCATGTTTGCCTCGGCCTTCCGCCAGCCGTTGGCGATTATGTTTGTCCTCTTCACCGCAGCCACAAACTTCACGATTCAGGCCATCTCGTTCTGGTCGGATAGTGAGACCATTATGAAGATCGCCGGCTACGAGGGTCTCATATGTGGTATGTCAGCGCTGTACTGCGGTCTGGCGCTAACGATGAATGGGAGTTACGACAGAACAATTCTTCCTTTGTCATTTCCCAATCGTCAGCACAGCGACTGACGAGGGGGTGATAAGTGATCAAAACAACTGCGCCCATCACAAGTAGTGATTTATGAGGCAATAAAAACAACAAATCTCCTGATCGTTTTGAGTTACTGTTTCAGACGGCAATGAGGTCAACCCATCAAAAACAAAAAAACAACAACAAAAGACAAAGGGCATTACGAGGCATTATTTGCAACTGCTTTGCGGGTGTGTAAGTATTAAAAAGCAACAACGAAAAATGAATAAGTCAAGGAACGGCATAGATCTGAGCTGTTGCGCTACGAATGGAGGACAGACGTGTCGTTTGGGATGAATAGACCAATGATATGATACTGAAGCAAAGGAATAGAATACCAACTGATTTTTTTTTCTCTTTTTACATTTCTAGGTCTCGGCATTACCCACTCTCTCTGCCACCAAAGCGTCACCAGCAGTGTATGAACTGTGTGACAATCCGCATATTACTTTTAGCCCCCTGGTGGTATACTGACTTCGTCTGCGTGTGTGTGTGTGTGTGTGTGTGCTTGTTGCAAAGAGGTACACATGAATACTTTTTTCGCCATCTTTACCACTCCCGCTTTTTATGCGTCTTTCTTTTTTGCCCTTCACCCCTCCCCCGTGTTTTTAGGGTCAAGTCATACAAGGCCAGCCACACGCACGAGTGTTAACTCTACAAAAAGCCAGAAATCCATTTTGACGGAGTTAAGATGCATTTACCTGATATGAGCGAAGAAGAAATCAGAATGCAGACCCAGGTGATCTTAAATGAGGTGACAGATGACACTAACAAGTCTGCTGCGCTGCAGGCAATCCTGCAGCGCATCCTTGATAACAATGAAATCGCGCTCGTCGACAAGCACACTCAGGCCAAGAAGTCTGTGAACCCCGGTCCATTGGGTCTTATTGGCTTCGGTATGACAACCATCCTGCTCAATGTACACAACGCAGGTATATATGGGCTTGGCTCTGTGGTTCCAGCCATGGGTCTTGCGTTGGGAGGTGGCCTTCAACTGCTCGTTGGCCTCTTGGAGTACTTCAGGGGCAAATCGTTTCCTGCCGTGGCTTTCATGAGCTACGGTGCCTTCTGGCTCTCCCTCGTGGCTGTGTGGATGTTGCCCCAGGAGAATCACCTCCACATTCAGCCTTCTGAAAAGACATTCCTTGGACTGTACCTGTTTTTGTGGGGCCTCTACACTGCATGCATGGCGACGGTTACTTTCTTCACGTCGCATCGCCTGATGCAGTTTCTCTTCAGCTCTCTGACGCTCTTGTTTTTACTCCTCGCCCTTGGTGACTTCACCGAAAACAGTACAATTACGAAAATCGCTGGCTACGAGGGTATTGTGTGCGGCACATCTGCGATCTACATCGCATTTTCGGAGATCCTCGAGGACAACATTGGGCACTCGATTCTGCCGCTGTTCCCTGTGCGTCGTGATTAGATCCCCCACTCCCTAAAACTGGATAAACATATGTAAATAATACTATTAATTCTCTTTGGTGCTGTGCAGCCTGTAAAAAGTTAGGCATCGGTTTTTTTTTTTTTTT